TCAGAAGTGACTGTAAATTAATATAAACCACAGAATTTTTCCTAGGACGTCTATGCCCAAAAGGAGGACTGATGTCTCTAATTTAAACTGAAGTATTCACATACATGCAGTCACTCCTAAGAAAAACTTCTCTAGCTTTATTTGATATACATGTACGTTGTATTGTTGCTTAGACAGTTGATAGGGTCAATACCAATTTTTATTCTGAGCCTGAGTTATCAGCATCTTCTATAATCATTCTCAGCCACACATGGAAACTCACCAGCATGCTGTCCACTTGCTCTCGTAATGTTTCTTTAATGTAACTTGCATTCCTCTGTGGCCAGAGAGTAGGAGTGCTAATTTCAATTTGATGAAATGATTTTATAAATATACTAATCAAATCACTAGTAATTTTGCCCATTGCTTGAGAATATTTACAAACATTGCACTCTTCCTCCTAGTCTACCCCCATTTTGCTTCATTCATGTCACTCTTTATGTGTATCTGATGCTGTCAGCACTCAGTTTCTAACTGTGTCACCTTTTCCACATGTACATTCCTTGCTGCCATTGATTCTCCTCCATTCCATCTCTACACTTCTGCTTATGTGGTGCACCTACCTCCAGCCTCCTAAAAAGGCTCTGGACTATGTTCAAGATCATTCTCCTGGTGTTTCCAATGAGGTAAAAACAAATTACTCTTTTTCAGATTTCTGTCTAAGGAGCTGTTACTATGATTCTGAAGATATGTATATTACAACTCACTGTAGCAACTAAGCTGTAGTAACTAAGCTGTTTTTGAGAATCTCTCTTTTTATCATTGTTGTATCCAGTATCATCGCTTGAACATTAATTATACCGGTCACTGGCTCTTCTGAAGTGTTGGTGAAATATCAGTCCAACCATAATTTTCAGTTAAAAATGTTCAGCGCAATTCTGATATCCAGCCATGTGATCATCAAAAGCCAAAAGTAGAAGTCTTTGTTCGTAAATGAACCACCTGTTTTGATTAGAATAAGCAAAATACCCTGAGGAAGTTTCTCAGAGCCTTTTATCATCAAGCTTGAAAGGGCGGACAGTTTCGATTTTTAGATAAGTAGATGTTTATGCCCCACTGTTCATAAAATTTAGATTAATTCTTTCATTTTCCTAAGTGCAATTTGTGAATTTTATTATTAGGTAAAATCAAGCATAAGGCTGACCATTATGTGGCACCCATGTTACAAAAGCCCAACGCCACACCCTTGAACAGGTATTGCTAACTCTTCCCCATGCTATTCTCCACGCTGCCTCTGTAACCAGTTCCCCTGATGTAGGAGATGAAATATATTCGCCATTACTACTTAAGAATGTTCACTATGACCTCCTATGTTAAAATAAATAAGTAAATAAATGAGATTTTACAGAATTAGTCAAAGAAAATACCAAAAAGGGCAGAAACAATTCAGAGCCCAAATCCTTTTACCATGTTTTCAGCAAAGAAAAATTGTCTTAGAAAGCAGATTTAAGACTTACTAGAATAAATATCTTGTTATAAAAGTTTCCCTGTGGGAAGTCCTAGAAGCTAAGATGAGAGTAAAGTGAACAAACTGTATTTTTCACAGTAGTTTTTTCTGTGTTCCTAAGTAAATGCAAAGTGCTAAATATCTTCTTTTCATTGCAAAGTCTTAAACATGTGCAACTGGAAAGTAGACCTAGTAGGAAGCTTATGCTGCAGGTAGTACTATTGACACACGGTGGCAACAACTGGAATTACAGGTAGAATCTCAAGAGGAAGAATCCATTGCAATTCCAATTTTTTTCCCTAAAATATGTTGCAGAGTATATGTTAAAATAGAGAAGTAAAAGTTTTAAAAAGTAATCCAGATATGTATGTTATATTAAAATCAAAATAAAGCAATTAAGAACATTCTGGGTATATTGTATTCAGTCATTTCTAAAAATGCAGAAATATAATCTCAAGAAAATCAAATACCGCAACTAATCCTATTCTTATGTTATGCTAGCTTCACATCTGAAGAAGGGTATCATTACAACATATGAGCAATCCAGTAATTTACATTGGCATTCAATTTGGTCAAATATTTCTCTGTGATATTTTGGTCTGTTATTGCTAGGATGTTTTTAAGCTCACTGGCTCACTGAAATTAGACATGGCCATATGCCAATCAATCATTTCTTTTTTCAAGAAAAGAAGAATCCAACAATTCTAAGAAATATGCCCAAAACACATGGCAAGATGGTGGCAAATTAAAAAATAAGAGAGTTCTTTTACCTTCACTTCAGTGTTTTTCTCCCTACCCCATACCTTTAGATCTTCTAAGAGATTTATTTAGAGCAGAAACAAACTATTTACTTGATACTATTGTTTGTTAACTATTGATTTCTATGAAATGAGTGCCTATAATTAATATTATATAATAATTCTTATGTATTTAAACAATAGAATCTTACCTTGACACATTCTATTATACTATGGTGATTTGCCATAACACATAGGAGTGAGAGGGAGTGTTGTGTGATTCTAATGGCACATCCAGAAGGCTATAATTAATGTGTTTTTTCAAAGTAAAATGTATTATGTAAGTAAGTTACATGGTTCTGTTATTAATAACCTTATGTTAAACATTTCTATTCAAATTTGTGATTGATTAGACATTACTTAGCCACTACTTATGAAGTGCCTAGGATATGCAGCAAATAACAGTTTTAAGCTATTAATATAACTGAGAAGCTGTTATTAATGAAAATCAGTTAATGACCTTTAAGCAGTTTAATCAACCGATCACATGACAGAATGAGTGATTCAATGCCTATGCTCTCTTAAAATGGCCTTCTTTTTAGGCCAAATTAAAATAATTATTACACTTAAAAACTCAGTAAATCATAGTAAGGAAAATAGCTCACCTCTTTCTAGAGACAATTTCCATTTCAGGATGAGTACAAATCATGAAATTATCATACATATTTTTCTCTTACTCATCCTGCCAGAATTTTTACTGTGTCCTTATGATTTATTATTGACCCTTCTCCTCTGATTACACATAAAATCACAAGCTAGTTTCATTTTATTTTGGATTCTGGAGACCAGCACCAGAGGAATAACTGTAGTCATAACCTAATTCTAATATATCATTAAGCTGCCAATGTAGACTTCACTTCATATACTGTGTACTATTTCATATTACATATTGTTTATGTTTATCACATGCCGATAGTTCAAATTTTCTGATCACTCCAGACCTGTTTTAAGAGTGTTCTGAAATTGAGTCTTTTTGCTGTTCCACTGTGCTTTGTCCTTGGGGTGGGCACCAGCTGTGACCAGCACAGACGTCAGTGCTCTGAGTCTTTTTGCATTGCTCCCATGTAAACATTAAATTAGTATTTTTAAACTGCAAGTAGTTATCAGATTTTGTCTGTTTCATTTTTACTTTTCAGGCTCATAGGCAGATTTTTTTTTCTAATTTTATATTTGTTGAGAACTTAGCAATTAAATATTTTCAAGAAACTAAAAACATTAGAAAGTCCTTTTTTGTTTTTGTTGTTGTCTAAAAGGGATGGGGTGTCTCCCTTTGCAGAGAGATATTTTCTGGGAAAGATTCCATTCTCACTCAGTGAGAGAGAATTATGTGAAAATAATAGTTCATAGAAGCAATTTTAGTCAGGAATAAGGAACCTTGTAAGTCTGATTGATATGAAGAATCTCAAAATTATATGCTGATGTTTTCATTAGTTAGTTGTAAATTGCTAGTAATTTACAAATAGAAAAATAGAGTTATAGGTATATGGCTTTTGACGTATGGTTTAATGTGCAAAATAAGTTTTTGATAGTCTGGTCAATATATTTCTGTGTGATAGCAACTTAAAATTTGTCAAGTCTTACCTTCTGGATAACATTTTTAAACTTTTATACAGAGAGACCTCTTAGACTAGACTTTCAGTTCTTCAATAGTCCAAAACTTATTTGAAATAGAGAACTGGTCATCAGCCAAAGCAAGGACACACAGATATACTTGATATTTATTTCGCTATATGAAGACTTCATACTTCAGTACTTTCACCTTCTCTGTCAATTTAAGTATTCAAGAGAATATAAAGTGTCTTGAGTACACTGATCCTCTCATGCCTTTTAAATAGTTCAGCAGGTATGTCATTAGATGACCATGGAAAGAGAAAAGAATCATATCTAACATTTTGGCTTCATAGCTCTTTCACTGTACCCACCAGAATGAAGGAGTATAAAACTGTATATAATGAGCACTTGGGATTATTATTCAATTTGTATCATCTATTTTCTTTGTTCCTACAGCTTTGGATAGCTGAGAGGTAATTTTCTGAGGAAAATACTAAATGTACACTTTATTTAAAATTTATACTTTGGTGCTTTAGAAGATTTAGTTTAAACTAACACTGAACTTAACTAATTTAAAAGATATAAGTCTTTATCTTTATACTGACTTAAGTAATGATTACACTTAAAAACTCAGTAACAGCAGTTTAACTTCAAACCAAATTCTATAGTTTTTACTAAATGATGTGTTTGTGTTGAGTGATGAAAGGTACCTTAGGTTCCGCTTAAATTTTGTTTTAAAGATAACCTCTGGCAACCCACCGAAAATATGTTTAAGGGGTTTATGTTTTGTTAGGTTTGAATAATAACTACAGATATATTTAAAACACCAAACAATTCCTTCATATAGAAATCTCTCTTTATAGTCAATTTCCAACATGCAGAAGGGGCACTGACTTTCTTTCCCAATGGGCAGTGTTGGGGTGTGCATGACAACTTCAGTGACACACGGAAGCCAGGTGCTGTAAAACAGAAGAGAAAGTCAATTCAAGGAAAGTAGAAATCTGGTTGCAGGATTACTCTTTGAGAAGACATTTTCTATGATCATAAGTAACATCTTAACCTCAATTTTTATCATATTCTTTTTAGGGTACCTATTTTAATGTCCACAGACAAATGAAATTTTGCCATGGTGAAAATTCTCATGGACTCTTACTCTATCTTAACAGGCCTCCTTGTATCAATCCTCTGTAGACAGAAGCTTGGAAAGGCCAACTAGGTAAGAATCTCATTATATGATGCAGTTAGAATATTCTATACACTGGTTGCTTTTTCGATGATGACACTAACTAGTAAAGCAATAATGAAAAATTAGATTATCACTTATTTTTAAGCACATACTTGACCTGAAGTTACTTTTCTCTTTTTTCAGCATAATTTTATAGGAGCAGATTCAAGAATGTATGCAAATTAAGTGATATTATTCTGAATTTCTTTACAGCCTAAGAATTATTTTTGCCCTTTCAACCTCCTCGATATTCCTTCTTTTACTCTAGATGAAGATTATAAGCATCTAATTTTTAATATTCTTACATGGCACATATGCTAATATTAAAATAAATTATTAAAAACTATAAATTATGTGCTACACAATTTTTATTATACTCTAACCAAACAAATTAAAAATACTGTTATTAATAAAAAATAAGGATTTACTATATACCAGGTATTCTAAGTTATGATATAAACATACTCATGAGTTACATACTCTTTTCCAGTTTTGCCTCTGTGCAAATGGAAACTTGGACTCCATAACTTTAAAGTTACACAGCTGGCAAAAAGCAGTGACCCAGAAAAACTGAATGAAAATAGCTTGTATCCAGCCACTAGGCCTTAATTCCCTAAGAATCAGCCAGGTTAAGTTCTGTTCAGAGGCTTTAAATATCACACTTAAAAATGTTGCAGAAATTCAGATGCAGCCAATAGCAGTGTGAACAATGCAAACTCCCAATCGCACCATGCCTTCAATAAGAGCATTGTTTTTCTATAGATTTGCTTTTCGATACGTTTCTATCAACCTAGCAATAGACTTTGGAAATTGGGCCTTCCATCATGAATGCCCTCCAATGGCATATTATCACTAAAAATGTGACACCCTCTTTTATCATTTACATCTATGTATGCACTGAAGTGTTTGAATTTTAAAGCATCAAACTGGCCTGAGGATTGGGGTAGAGACACACAGTCCCCTCAAATGACAAGATAGTGAAGCAAAAGGAGAAAACAGGGCCTCTCCTTTATAAGACAATTCTAAGTCCTAGCTCCACCTTCATGTTTGCAAAGCATTTGCAAATGCTATTTTCCACCTATAAAACAGAGGTAGTAGTGCATGGTCCACATAAATGTGCTTTGCGGTCAAGGGGAGACAGCCATGTCAGTAACAGCTATAATACTGCTGGCTCTCACAGCTGGTGCTGCTGTGCTTACTGATGTGAATTTATCTAGTGATTTCACAGCATGTGTGGTGTTTCTTTATTGACTAATATTTGTCTTTAACAAGACAATACTCAAGCCAGAATTGTGAAACTCTCTGCCGTTATATACTATTGACAACATTTTTCTACAACTGGGAAGGAATCTTTTTGCTGACCTGACTATTATTAATTTATTATTTCAATAGAAAATGTTGGAATTCTCATGTAAGCTTTTAAAATTCAATTAAATTACTATGGAAAGTCATAGGGAATTTTGAGCTAAATAATCCATGCCCACCATGCATTTTCCTTGTATTCAATCCTTTCCTCCATCTTAGCATGTATTTATTCATGTTCTCTGAATTATTCTTTATAGAAAAACATTAATAACATAAATCATAACACTGAACTGTCAGTCACAGCATGTTACACTAATAGAAATTTCACTTTAAAAAGATGATTTTAAACTTGTTACACAAATCTGCACATGAATAGCTACTAGCAGCTTTATATAAGAGAACCTTCAATAGCTGAATAAAATGGGCTAAACTGGAGTATAGACCATAAAATAAAATAATATTCAACAATAGAAACAAGCTATCAAACCATAAATAAAATGTGAAGGAAACTTAAAAGCATAAGGTTAAATGAAAGAAACCAAACTGAAAAGATTATTTACTCTATGATTCCAACTATTGAACATTCTAGAAAAAGTCAAATGAGAGACAGTAAAATATCAGTGGTTGCCTGGAATTTGGAGAAAGATGAAGTCATAGAACTCAGGAGGGTTTAAGGCAGTAAAACTCTTCTATATGTCACAGTAATGATGGACACATGTCATTATACATTTGTCTAAACTCATAGGATGTTCAACACAAAACATGAAACCAATCTAAACCATGGATTTTAATTACCTTTAATAACATTGTATCAATATTGTTCATCGATTGTACCAAATGCACCACTAGAGAATGTCCATAAAAACAGGACTTTAGTGCCAGGGGAATGGAGTAAATCGCACCCTCTGTACTTTCCAATCAATTTTTCTGTAAGCTCTAAAATATGATTAATTTCTGAAGTGTTTATAAAGAATTAATCTTCATCTTAAGTAATGATTCTTATATATGCAGTTGAGGATGTGGAGAATAAGAGTTATACCTCTTACAAACGTAATACATAATGCAATAGTCCTCAGCTGCATAAAAAATATAATGAAATTCTGCCATTTATGAAACATGGGTGTACCTAGAGGACAATTATGCCAAGTGAAATAAATCAGACACAGAAAGAGAGGGACTATAAAGAAACAAGCAAATGAACAAATAAAACAAAACAAAAGCAAACTTCTGGACTACGAGAACAAAATGGTGATTACCGGAAGGGGCAGAGGAAGTGACTCAGGTAACGATGCTCAGCTGTAAGATGGTACAGTGACTTTTGGTGGCCATCATAAGGTTCCATATACAGATGTCAAATTACAGTGCTGAGACCTGAAAGCAGTGTAATGTTTTCAACCAATATTACTTCAATAACAAAAACACACGAAACAAGTAAGAGGTATACCATTGACACGATGCACCAGTCTTTCCTCTAGTTCCAGCCAAACTCATGCTGTTCCTTCTTGCAGCTCTGCAAGTATGGCCAGTGACTTTCGGAAGAGGAGGAAGAGCGAGCCTGCAGTGGGGCCCCCCAGGGGCCTGGGGGACCCGAGTGCAAACAGGACCAGCCCCAGCCGAGCAGACCTCCCGGGATCCAGCGCTACCCTGGCCAAGTCTTTCGTTGGGTCTTCCCCTTCTTCCCCCTCACGAGCAAAAGGTGAGCAACAGCCAGGTGAAGTGTAAACAGTTTTCAAATGTCACTTTTAACCTAGAGTTATCGTTACCCCAAGACAGCATCTGAATACAGTGACTTCAACAAAATATGGGTTCAGAAAGGTACCTTTCTTCCAATCTAGACTAAATAATCAGGTGGTGAGCCATTTGGGTGGTGTAAAGAACTCTATCGTCATTAATATGTTGTCCCCTAAAATAGATCATTTGTATTGTTTCAACAAATGTAAAGTATCAAAAAGTTTATTGTCAAGCTATTATAAGACCGTATTTATAAACATTTACATATCATTAAAATTCTCTGTTACAATAATACAGCTAGCAAAATTAATCACATTCATGGACTAGGAAACAAAAGGGAACCTGTGGAATAAAAACCATATGCTTTCCATATACTTTATATGTAATTATAATCTGAAACCAATTCATTCTTCCTATGATGGGATGGACCATGTTACAGCCAGCATGTGGGTATTTACTGTATTTGTGCATAGTGATCAAAAATATAATGTAACAGATTAAAGAAATGGCTGTAATAGATTAGTAATAGAAATGACAATAGTAATTCTATTCCTTTATGCCAACAAATATTTGAAGGTAACAAACAGAGCTGGAGTGCCATTGATTCATTGTGCTAGGGTACCAGCTGAAAGTTTAGAAGATTCTGACCAAATCAGATACTTTTTTATCCTAGGGAGTGTTAAGTCAACTTCTTTTCTCAAATATCTCTCTCACTAATATGCTTATCAATTGTTGAAGACTTGGGAAGGATTGTAAGCAGGAGATATTTTCCTCCACTGTTTATTTCTGAGAAGAAAATATCCAGTAAGATGTCATTTGGCCTCTCATTTATTAGTTAACTAACATAAAAGAATATTTTCCTATATATTTCAAGTGGAAGTTAACTTTAGCTTTCTATTACCAGATTGCAAATGACTATTTTAAAGGCCCTCCACAGGAAGAATGCATTTATTTCTAGTGACCTTTTCACATGGTAGCATTTATCCTTATGAAAACAACTGACCTATTAAGAAGGAGAAGAAAGAACAGTTGAAGAAGCAAATTACTTTGTTTAAAGAAAAGCTAGCAATTTTCTTCTTGAAAAAATAAAAATAATAGTTCATAGCATTTTGATGTTTGCCATTTTGTACTTTGTCTTACAGTTTTTCCTATATAATGCACATGAAATATTATGTGATATCATTATGGGAATGTTAATCAAATATAAATGTATGAGCTATTCTTTGTTATAAAGCCTGAGCCTACTTAGTTGATTAGATCTGTAATACGTTGGGCATTCTTTGTTCAACTTTTAACTTGACAGGTAAACATGCATTTAAAAGGTATGTTTCTGGAATATCATATTTACAGAAAGATATATGAACGGTGCATAGAAATAAGCATAGCGGCTCTGCCTTTATATTACAATACAGCCACGGTTTACTTTATATACATGGTTTTGTTAACTCTCATATCTTCAGCACTGTGTTGATTGAAAAGTAATATTGATTGGAAAATAAAGTATTGCCTTGCTTTAAAGTTAGACTTTTCTCTCTAAAGTTGAAGCTACACCTAAAAATCAGTGTCTAGATTGAGTGTCACTAACTGCTTTCTCTTTGCTTTACTGTCTTGCTCTCCTCTTTGTGAACCTTTTAACTTCTCCACATGTCTCTCTTCCACCACGCTGCTCTGGATTAAAGGTGGGGGTGATAGCAAAACGTGCCCACCCCTTTGCGGTTACTCAGGGCTCACCGGTAACCCCTCTTCTGAGTTAGACTGCTGTAACGCGTACAGACGGCACCTGGACGTCCCTCGGGACTCGCCTAGGGCCATTTCTTTCAAAAACGGCTGGCAAATGGCCCGGCAAAATGCAGAGATCTGGAGTAGCACAGAAGAAACCGTTTCCCCCAAAATCAAATCCCGAAGCTGTGATGATCTCCTGAATGAGGACTGCGACAGCTTCCCCGACCCCAAAATCAAGTCAGAAAGTATGGGCTCCCTGTTATGTGAAGAGGACACCAAGGAGGGCTGCGCCCTAAACTGGGCATCCCCCTACATCCAGGAGGGCCGTGGTAATGGCAGGTCAAGGCTGCGACACAGGTCAGCTCATGACACCCCGGGGTTCCTAAAAATGTATAAGAAAATGCACCGCATCAACCGGAAGGATTTGATGAACCCGGAGGTGATCTGCTCCGTGAAGTCGAGGATCATGCAGTATGAAATGGAGCAACACAATGATCTTCTGCAGGGCTGGAGCCAGTTGTCTGCGGAGGAGGTGCCCAGGGACATGGTACCCACCCGCATCTCTGAATTTGAGAAGTTGATTCAGAAGTCCAAGTCCATGCCCAATTTAGGAGATGAGATGCTGTCTCCCATTACCCTGGAACCACAGCAGAATGGCTTGTATCCCCAAAGACGATTTTCCATTGAGTCTTTGCTGGAAGAAGAGACTCAGAGTAGACACCCTTCTCAGGTACAACGAAGCTACAGGCCTAAAACCCTGGTGCCGATTCACATCGAAGTCACCAGCGAGGAGCAGCCGAGAGCTCACGTGGAGTTTTCCGACAGCGACCAAGACGGGGTCGTGTCGGACCACAGCGACTACATTCACGTAGAGGGCTCGTCCTTCTGCAGCGAGAGCGATTTTGATCACTACTCTTTCACATCCTCTGAAAGTTTTTATGGGTCCAGCCACCATCACCACCATCATCACCACCATCACCGGCATCTTGTGAGCTCCTGCAAAGGCAGGTGCCCAGCGTCCTATACTCGGTTTACCACGATGTTGAAACATGAAAGAGCTAAGCATGAGAGCCCCGAGGTGCCCCGACGGCGAAACCTGGACCCTGGCCTTTCTAAGCTTGCGTTTTTAGTCAGCCCCGTGCCTTTCCGGAGGAAAAAAAGTTCAACTCCAAAAAAACAGACTGAAAAGGCAAAGTGTAAAACGTCCGTGTTTGAGGCTCTGGACTCTGCCCTGAAAGACATCTGTGACCAGATCAAAGCTGAGAAGAGAAGGGGAAGCTTGCCAGACAACAGCATATTACATCGTCTTATCAGTGAACTGTTGCCAGAAGTTCCTGAAAGGAATTCATCCCTTAAAGCTCTGAAAACGAGCCCCATGCACCAGCCTTTCCACCAACTGCCTCAAGATGGTGCTATTCACTGTCCATTGTACCAGAACGATTTGGGGAGAATGCCTCCTAGTGCCTCTTTCCAAGACGTAGACTCCATCACCAGCTACCACCACCAAGACCAGGAGTGTGGTCTGGGTCTCCAAGGTGGACCAACTTTTCTTTCTTTCTCCTTGTGACTCAGATACTCACCCTCTCCAGCTCATTCATTTTTCCATCCCGTCATCTCATCTTTCCTGAGCTAGGAGCCTCTTGGCATCACTATGTGTTGGGAAGCAGACGCTTGTCATGCAGATATGTCTTATTGAACCGTTTCTATTTTGTCCATGTGCTCTTTGGACTGGATGTGTGGCTTAAAGTGATTAATTCACAAAAATTGACTCACTCCACATTGAAAGGGACAACCACTTGGTAGCTTAATATTAGGATTGTAACATCCTAATACAATCCTAATATCAAATAACATCAAATAACACATCAAATATTTTACTAATTTAGAAAAATTTCAACACAGAAACCAGTATCCGTAAGAGACTGACAACTTTGCATTTGTACTTTTTGTTGTTGTTTTATAATGAATCAAGACCCATCATTCAACCAGTTGCCTTTTTCTTGACTTTTATATTAACTTTAAAGTTGCACACTCAATAAATAATGTGCTCACATTCTATGGAGATTCTACATCAAAACATTCAGGAAGCAAAACTGAAATACACAGCATAATAATTGATGAGTGAGTGAAAATAAAAGAGTAAAACAGAGTTTAGTAACTTTCTCCACTTAAAGGACACAGCTGGGATAAAATTTTTGTGAATATGTCTTTAAGCTATATATACATAAGTCTCAATACTATCACTCCATATATTCATTTTCTTTCTTTCCATTCCTTTCCTTCTACTTCTGCTAAAATAATCCTGTGACAGCATTTAGACTATTAGAATTCACCACTCACTGAGCTAGAGGGATGCATGGTGTAACTGACGATTCCTCTTGTATAAACAGACCTTTCTCCCTGATAGTCTAAGAAGCCTTTAAAAGTCAAAACTTTAAATAACATTTTCATTTTATGGATTGGCATTTTTAATTTTTTTGTAAATTGATTTATCTTTAATGTTTCTTTTTATTCAATATATCTAAATTTACTAAAGGAATAAGAGAAAGAATATACAAATTTGACCACCTTATGTTCACAAAATGCTATAATATGGACTACTGGAATAGTTTTAACCTCTAGCTGCACTTCTACATATAAACCTGTAGAGTATAAGTTACTATTAAAGAATACTAAGCTATCATAATTTTGAAATATAATGATTTGTACTTGATTTTAAGGGGAGCAAGAAATTTTACATTTCCTAAGCAGTTTAATAACTGATATAATATCTTCTGTTAAGAGAAATTTTATCTTTTTATTTCTTGAAATAAATGTTTGCTTTCTGATAAAGCAGCTGAGCACAAGGCAGACCATAATCAAAGACCAATTAAACCCACATCGTAAAACTCGAGAGTGCCTGAGAGTGAGTCAGAGAGCAAAGAGGACAATGGATCTGACCACAGTCCTGTCATCCTCATGAGGGACCTTTGTGTCTTCCCTTATCATCACTACATTCTATAATTGTGGCTACTATACATTGTTGCAATTTTCAAATCCTCACTATATCTATAAGCCTTCTAGTAGTGTTTATAAATTGGAAACAAAATGAATAGAAGTAAAAAGTGTTTTTAAAAATCCTTCAGATGAGAAATACCTGCAGCTATGAACTGTCTACCCCAAAATGCTGCAGTTCAATTACATTGGCGATGGAACAATTATATTGATTATATACCATTATAATACTTCTGCAAGCTCAGATATTTTCCCTTTTGAAATAGTCTTTGTGTGTCTTATATCGTGACTTTATGGTTACCTGTGTGTTTTCCATTGTGGTGTCTCCAAGTCTGAGGGTGAAAATCGTTGCTACCAGGAGAAATGGTTAAACCAGCCTGTTTGTAATTAAGTAGATATTCACTCTGCCCTTTTTTTTTTTCCAACAGGCCACGAATCCCCAAGAAGTTATTCATCATCCACTTTGACTGACTTGGGGAGAAGTACACCAAGGGAAAGAAGAGGAACTCCAGAAAAAGAGGTAGTTCATTTAAGAGCATTTGGATCTTTTTAAAAAGCGTACTTGACAACGAATATACTAGCCAAATTTATGTCCAAACTGGTAAAGAAATCAGATTAAAAACCTTGAAATGACAACAAAGAAACTAAAACACTTTCCCTTGAAGCCTGAGCCAAGGAAGAAGGGGTGTGCATGCTAGTCCTGGCTGGGCTCTGCCTGGCCTGTGGCCAGTGCTGGAAGCGAGGCCACTGAGTCTTGACCCGAGGCCCATGACTTAACAGTGTGACCGAAAAGAGTTTTGGGCTGGAGGAAAGAGGCTTCCCATGCACAAACTCCCAGCCCAGTGATGCCGGGGAGAAGCCTCTATCAACAGTGTTGCAAGTCAATACAGATTCTACAAAACTAATTTCTGCTGACCTGCTTTTGTTGGAGAAGATCCTTGAAAACACCATTGTTGGAAGAATCGCCTACCAACTGGCTCTTTGTCCAGGCCCGAGCCAGGCCCAGAGCCCTGGCTCGCCCTATCTTAGAGACATGAAGGTTGGGCCCAAACTGGCTTGGACCGGCAGACCCCCCCATGAGCGTCTATGCAGTTGTCTGAGATTGCTGGGTGCCTGCAAGACCCCACAGAATGCAGGAATGGTCCAGGTTGCCTAAAGTTCACCAGAGTATTGGAGAAAGAGAGTGGGATAGATGGATTATTTGGAAGAGATGGAGGAGCTAATTATAGCATCTCCATATAGATATGTGGGCTCCAGAGTTTGATGGTGGGCATGTATCATGACTAACAGGTAAAAGGTGATTCACTGTGTGCTGAAGAATTCCTGGGGCCTCCCTGGTGGTACAAAGGGTTAAGTCTTAGCACCATGAAGCTATCACCAACCACTGCAGCAAAAGTTCAATCCCCACCCAGGGAGCTGACCCACATGGCCCCGCAGGCCTCTCCTATCTCACCTGCTGCTTCCTCAGCAGTGTATTTCCGTCAGTCCACCTGTTCTGCTCCCCACTCTGTCTCTGGTGCATCCTTTCACTTCCCTCCCCTATGCCTCTGGCCTATACCCCAGCTCTTGTATGAATAAATAAAGAAAATAAATGTTTGGGGGAAAAAAAGAATTCCTGAATCCTCCAAGGAATAAAAAATGACCACACATTATCTTGTTAGCTGTAAATCAATACTTGAGCTAATATTTCTTTGATAATATGTCAATAAATGTTTGGTAAAAGGGATGATTGCTCCCTTTGTGACTTTTTCTAACCCTTTTATTATGATTCAGAAGGAGTTATGTCCATACATGGGTTAGAATGATTTACCATCCACAACTATCCCAGGAAAAGCCTTGTGTGCAATCAAAATTATAGCTACAATAGAATTCACTGCAGGAATCTAATCCCCCATTATGGCATACATTAACTGTAGTTCCTGAGATGAAATATGATATTCAATAGTTTAGATAAATGTTGCCTATTGTAATCCAATTAGAGATTAAATATCTAAATGATAAGTGAATCAATTTGTTTATAAATTGCATATCAGATGTACACTGTATAATTATCCTATGAGATTTCTCATTAATTCACATGAATTTCTCATTAATTCACATGAATCTGCTTTCCTGCAGGAAACACAACTCTTTAAATTAATCTTTCCCCTTTGTTTCTAGAAATTGCCTGCAAAAGCTGTTTACGATTTTAAGGCTCAGACTTCTAAGTAAGTAAATAAGTGTTCATTATGTGACTTAAGCTAGCTTTTAGTACTTTAGTAATACTTTAAAGCTAAATATTTCAATAGAATATGTTGCAAATAAGTACTAACTTTCCATTCAACAACCTACTGTGATTAAATAGTTATTTCAGAACTAATTGGATGGGGCAATTTTATTTTGAGTTTAGTTAAGAAACATGGAGTTTTTATTGAGCTTGCACTAAGCATGTCAAAGCAATATGGGCTAGAAAGGAAAAGCTAAAAAGTTAAGAATAACTTTGTTTCTGAATATTTGTGTCAATAATGAAAGAAAAATAAATTAGGGAATAATTAACACTAACCAGGAGAACTTGATTACATTTACTTGTCCAACATATCAAGGTTTTGTATGTGGAATTGATAACTGGGTTTGTGTACAAAGATTCCTGGAATAAAAGCCTCTGTCTTTATACTCAAAGCTTGATGATTCCGAGCGAAGTTCTATCCTATAGTCTTTTGAGAATGGTGTTTCCTTGCCCCTGTGTTGTGATACGTATTTTAATATACAGATGAAAAATTTAATCTTTTTCTGTAGGAGATGTTCATCAGATAGGCATGTCGTTGAAGAATACATGAATAGGTTGTCATATTCTAGGCAATGCACACAGACCTCATTTAAGAATCTTTGGCTTTGAGAGTTCAATACATTGAGTTATCAGCATTAAATTACACTGTGTGCTTACACTGAATATCTTTTTATTATATTTATTACATATATTATTTATATATATAAAATAACCAAATTTTTTTATTCATAGAAAATGCATATTGTATGTATTACTAGTTCTAGAACATCTCTTTGGCAGGACAGATAAAAAAAATACTTAGAATTTGGC